GCTTCGAAAGATGTTGGAATTGAATTGAGATAACTGGATGTGGGTCAAAATGGAAGACCTAGGGGACCACAGATGTTAGTCTAGTTTAGTATTAACCATCCAATTATTGGGGTACCTAATTTTGACCCATACCCAACTGACGCTTGAGGCGAGCATCCAGGAGACGGAAGGCATCAGCAGGCCACAGCTGTGCTGCGGCTAAGGTCCAACGTAAACGTAGAAGCAAAGCCTCGCCGGACATCAGCCCTGCGGATTGTGACCTTTGGGCCATAATCCGTAAGAAAGTGTGTCACTGCACATGTTGTACTAGTATTGCGATGATGATGATGATGATGATGATGATGATGATGATGATGATTCTTATCATTACCCTCTGGTAAACTAACATATAACTATGGAAAATCACCATTTTTAATGGGTAAATCCACTATAAATGGGCCATTTTCAATAGCTATGTTAGTCATTACCGGAGGGTACTAGTTGCTCCATGCTGCTCCTTTAGTCTGAGGCCTTTGGAACAAAGGGACACCGGGGTCTCCCGCACCTTGGTGCCCCAATCCTCAAACTCGTCCGTCTTCTGGAAGACTTTGGCCACGGCACACTTTTGCCAAGGCCTTGAGCAAAAGGCCGGGAAAGGGCTGTTTCCTGCAGGAAACATAGAGTTTTAGACAGTGGATGACAGTGGTACACATGTTAGACAGTGCTACAGTATGGTACAGTAGTATGATACTGACTTAAACTTAGGACAAGAAACATATATAGAGACATGATGAGACTGACGATGATGGGTACATGACCCAAGAAGGCAAATCCCAAAAAATGGTTCAATCAGGAAGGTTTCATGGGTAAAGGTTCTGATGCATGGCACGACAGCAACATCCAGCAATCGGTGTGGGGCCCAATGCCAATCAATTTTGCATGCGTAGGGCCCCTATACACCTCTCGTTGTCAAATTTATCTTTCATTTTGAATTCAAGTTTAAGGATAGTCTCACAGGAAACCGACCATCCCTTTTACTTCCAAGAAATTCAAATATGGAGGACTTCCTGCAAATAGATGTTCCCTTCAACCACTTCTGCAAATCGTTCAGAACTCTTGGTCTCTCTGGGCCCTGGCCGATGGCTGCGACGTCGGCAGGCTCGAACATCCAACCACCAAGGTAGACGGTCCTGGAGCTCCATATGGCTTAAACCCACATGGGATGAGGTTTTCTATGACAGGCGGATGGTCACCAATGGTGGCAGGGCTTCGGGGAAAATCATGGAAAATCTGGTGCCAAAAAAATGCACCTAAATGGGCCTAAGACAGAGCGCCGGCAGCTGTAACCAGTTTCCAGCAAATGTTTCTGCACATGTTCACTTGATTCTTCAGATATGTATATATATATATATATTCCTGTCAGAAGACAATTAGGAACACATATGAAAACGTAGATCTCACCCAACAAGAATTACTCACATATCAAGAATTCATCTATAAAAAAAATGAGGAAAATGAAAACTATCAAAACAATCATTTTCCATCATCGATTCAATCGACACCTCCATCCGTGTCAGCTGCAGGCACCGCAATAGCACGGAAACCTCCCTGGCCTCAACGCTGTTTGCACGGACACCGGAAACCATGGGTAAAAACATGCAAAAAGAAAATGGTAAGTTTCCCTTAAACCAATTCTGGCATATGATATTTGCGTATATTTGCACAAGAATCTGGCAACATTTGAGACGATTGGGTGGTATAGCTGTGGCTATATGATCTATACGGGTCTGCCAAAAGATTGGGTTACAGTATTACCCGCAGTCTCATGATTGACCATCATTTTCCGGTGTTGCACGTGGTAAATCCATGCAACTTCCTGCATCATTGGACCGATCTCATGCTAAGCCACCTGGCCACCCTGGCCGGCCCCGAGGCCCCGACCTGGAAGTCTTCGGCACTGTTGAGGAATCGGAAGACTTGCTCCGCAACCTGTTGGACTTCCCCCAGTTTTCGCCTTTCTGGGGACAGCTTCAGTGGGATTACCCAGCCTCCAGCTGGTGGTTCAGCTCAGTGCCTTAGAAAAAAAACGTAGGATTTGGGGCCCACATAGGGGATAGTTTGGGATGACCAATGGATGGATTCAAGGAAAAACATGTAGAAACACCATGGAATAACAGATTTTTACAATTGACACATAGCAGCTTGTTCTTCTTTTTCCTGTAGATCTCTAAACTTAGTCTGGAAGCTGGCAACTGACATTCATCCCCCAGGGCCCGCAGGGCCATGAAACCCCTGAGATCCTGACTTTGTAGCACAGGGCCATGCCAATCCAGAAGGGATTCATCACTTCCCGACTCCTTGCAAGCAATGCACCTGCGTGAGGTCAACAGGCGATGCGAGATGTCGTGAAACTGACAATGGACCGGGCAATTGATGTTTTAGGTGACTTCTTAGGTACGGTGACTATTAAATAGTGACTATTGCTATATCAGCTATACGTGAAATGGGTGTGAATTCTCACACTGGCCGGCATAGCAGTCCATCTGCCTCAAGGCAAGGCCACACTGAGCTGGGATGCTGGAGTTCTGCAACAGATGCCTGGGAGAGTTGCCCCTGCAGTAGCTGCACCAGCTTGGATTCTTGGATGTCTCTGGGGTCACATCTGCTCTCCCCAGTTCAATGTCCATTGTCCACTCAACCTGGTGCTAGAACTTCGTGTATCACAAGCTTCTGGATTGAACAAATGGGAAAAATCATAGGAAACTGCTGTCATCACAACATATTACGGCCCAAAATGCAGTTCCAGTTTCTATTTTCTCATCAACCAATTCAGGGAATAAGCCTCCGATGGGAGAATTTGCAGGCTTTACCCCCGGTTTCAATTTTCCCTTAAACCAATTCAATGAACATACCAATCTTTGGTGGTTAAATGATGTTAACCACCCTCCTAATATCTCTTAATCACTTTCACTTTCATGTCCTGCGCCCTGCATGCCCACAAGGGCAACTCGGCGCATCTCTCTCGGAATTGCACAAAGATTAAAAATGAGTATAGCGATACGTGATACAGCTCAGAAGGTCACAGTATAGGATAGGATGGCAAACTCAAAATTATTCCTTCAATGGAAAATCCACCATTTAAAGTTCGATGAATATCCTATTCAAACCTCAATTTAGTTCGATGATTTCCATTGCCATGTTTGATTTCATGAGGATAAACCAGCATCGATTGCTTTAAGGGAAAATCTGAACCCAAAACTTTGGTATTTTCCAATTCAATATGGGGTTTTCTTGTAAATGTCCCCTTAAATCAATCCATATTGACAACAATACATATCATAATTATCCATCAATATCCCACTAAAAAACATTATATCCCATTAAATCACTATAAAATCCCATTAATTCAACATGTTTTCCCAGCTTCAAACCGTTAAACCTGTGCTCCCCTGCAGTGTGCCACGCAAATGCTCTGCTTCTTCTAAGCTGAGCGCCACGAAGTAACGACCCTGGCCGACAGGGGCGACATGGCATCATGGGGAAATACATGTATGGTAATAAAAATAGAAATACCCTCTGGTAATTTAACATAGCTATTGAAAATGGCCATTTATAGTGGATTTTCCCATTAAACATGGTGATTTTCCATTGCTATGTTAGTTTACCAGAGGGTAACAATAATAATGATGATAATAAACATACTAATAAACAATAATAAATGATAAATAGTACTACTGCTAATAGTATGTCATTATTACTGTTGTTATTGTTCTTAGTATGGATTTTTTATTTATCATAATCAGTATTGTCATTATTCTTCAGAGTATTATAACTGTTATTATCATATATATATGGAGGTTTTGAATAAATGAAGAATCACCAAAACCGTGGGCTTAAATACCAAAATGGTCCAATGACTTGGATGATTTGGGCGTACAGCCATTTTAGTAAACTGCTTTATATATATATCTACACATATATACAGTATATATATATAAAGCAGTTATGGATCCAAATTCTGATAGTTTGTTCAGATGATGCCTTCCCCATGATGATAAATGATGCCATGTATACAATAAATATGAACATACTGATGCAAATTAATTATCCTGATGTTTCCAAAGGCTTGCTGAGATTGCACTTCACCCACCCGGGAGGTAATGGGATCCAAAAACAAATACCTCTATAGGTCCGGAAGATGTTCAATCTCAATGGGCGACTAAGCCAACCATGTGGACATGATATTCAATTATTCAATAGGACATATAAGACTATAAGATATACAGTAATAAATATATATATATATATCTCTTGAGACAAACAAGCAAACAAAGAAAACAAAACAAAACAATGACACAAATAAACAATAAGGGGAGCTGGTATTTCAATGCGCGGCCAGACATCTGGCGCATGTTTTGATATTTGTTGCACTTTGATTGACTCCATGACTTCTTCGTTCATCAGCAGTGAGCAAAAATTGTCAGATTTCTGGGGCATGCTATCCCAGCCAAACTCTCAGTCAAAATTAGCATCAATTTCACTGAAAGCATGTGAGGGGCCAATGTTGTTTGCTTCATCATCAATGATGTTGTGTGTGTGTGCGTGCGCACGTGCATATGCGTTAAATATGGTTGACGTGGTTTGGTTTTCTGGTTGTAGTCAATGAGATGTAAAAACCCGTGTAACACAAGTATGCCAAAGGAACTAATTAGGGGTTGGTTCTTAAATGATATATATATATTATATATATATATATATATATGTATTGTAATATACATGGTTTTCTATCATTCATCGGATGCCACATTCATCCACATATTCTGTTCTACCAGGTTACTCCAACAACATGAAGTTGGCCCGTCAGCTGGTCTGATGTTTTGACAGGTTCTGTCGGTGTCACAAGTACTCTAAACAGAGCAGTGCCTGGGGCTGAAACTTTGTCATGAACCCTGCCGGATTGTAAGCTCTTGCAAGATGAACTTTGACTGCGCCTTCCACACCGTTCATTTCTGAAACAATAAGTTGGTTTCTCCGTCAAAGTTCTGACACACGACATCACAAGACACGGTCTCAAGGCCATTGATTTTCAAGGCCATTCAGCACGGTCTCACCCCATGAAGTCCCGAAAAGCGTCTGATAGAGATTTCTTTGGATCCTGGGATGCAATAACTGGACTCACTGATGGAAAAACTCACGAAGTGTGGCCTATTCCACGCTGAAAAGGTTTCAATCGCTGAAAATGTCTCAAAATCCACCTGCAACACATGCAGGAACTATGAAATTGAGCTGCACCCTTTGGTAATCCCAATCCCAGGCAGCCCAAGGATATCCAAGGATCCAGCGAATCCAAGGTTTGCCCGTTTGGTAGGGCCACTTTCACTTGAAAACCTTCGTGCCCTTCCACTGAGACACGGTAACCTGGGCCGGGTCCACCGGGATTGGAACATTTGAAGTCCCACTGCGCGCACTTGTTTGTGGCAAGTTGCCTAATGTCGTAAACCAATTAAGGAACATTAAGGAACCCATGGTTTGGGGATGCTATAGACAACCCGTTTCAGATCACACTGTATGCTCAACGTCTTGGGCCATGGGGGTGACTTATCATTTTTTTCCACATCTTTGTGTGGGGTTCTTCTTTTTGATTCTGTATCCCGCTCCTGGTCCCGACCGCCGCGCGCACTCTGTCACACACCACTTTGTCACACACCCCTCTTTCACACACAACTTTGTCACACACCATCTTTCACCACTTTGTCACACACTGTCTTTCACACACAATCTTTCACCACTCTGCCACACACTCTCTTTCACACACCATCTTTCACACACCCTTTCACACACCATCTCTCATCCTCTCTCACACGACATTGTCACACACCATCTTTGCATGGCAGGCGTGGCACTTGGTGACATTGACGTTCCATTTGCGTGGCAGGCGTGGCACTTGGTGACATTTGCGTGGCAAGCGTGGCACTTGTGGCACTGGGCTGGCTCTGGTGGCGCGCTTGGGCGCGGTTAGTCGCCCGAGGCGCCGCGCCATTTTGCGTGGCAGGTGTGGCATTTGGTGACGTTGACGTTCCATTTGCGTGGCAGGCGTGGCACTTGGTGACATTGACGTGGACGTTTTGCATGTCCTACTTTTGTGCCTGTTTGATAGAAACTGTGTGGAAGCGATGTTTGCTTCTGTTGCAGCCATGTTTGGCCATGTCTTCCTTGCGTCACTTGATTATGTATGTATGGATGGTCCAGTCGCTTTGGCCCAACGTGGGAAGAAACCTTGTGCACATTTGATAGATACTTTGTGGCAGCGATGCTGGCCTGCTTCTGCATGTTTGATAGACACTCCGTGGAAGCGATGCGGGCATGTTTCGCATGTTTCGCTTTGGCCCAACGTGGGAGTGCATGTCTCTCGCATTGCCGCCAGGTACCTCCCCGAGCGTCTTTATGCAAGGACAATGCATCTGAGTTTAATTCAGCGCTGGCATTGACGTACTGTCGCAGAGTGCGTTTGTGCTGAACATAGGCTTCTTGCTCTGGTTCGATGCTTTATGGCCTTTTCGATCCTGCAAACGCATTTGCATTCATTACTGCGTCACTTGGTTATATATCTATGTATGGTCTGGTCGCTTTGGCTCAACGTGTGAAGAGACCTTGTGCACATTCGATAGATATTTTGGAAGCGAGGCTGGCCTGTTTCTGCGTGTTTGATAGAAACCTTATTGGAAGCGATGCTGGCAGGTTTCGCATGTTTCGCTTTGGCCCAACGTGGGAAGAGGCCTTGTGCATGTTTGAAGGAAACTGTGTGGAAGCGATGCTGGCATGTTTTACAACAAACTGTGTGCAAGCCATGTTTGACCATGTCTTACTTGCGCACAGGAAGCGATGCTGGCATGTTTCGCTTTGGCCCAACGTGGGAAAAGGCTTTGTGCATGTTTGTGGCCTTGTGATGTTTGATAGAAACCTTATTGGAAGCGATGCTGGCATGTTTCGCATGTTTCGCTTTGGCCCAACGTGGGAAGAGGCCTTGTGCATGTTTGATGGAAACTTTGTGGAAGCGATGCTGGCATTGGCATGTTTCGCATGTTTCGCTTTGGCCCAACGTGGGAAGAGGCCTTGCGCATGTTTGATAAAAACGTTCTGGAAGCGATGCTGGCATGTTTCGCATGTTTCGCTTTGGCCCAACGTGGGAAGATGCCTTGTGCATGTTTGATAGAAACTTTGTGGAAGCGATGCTGGCATGTTTTACAACAAACTGTATGCAAGCCATGTTTGACCATGTCTTACTTGCGCACAGGAAGCGATGCTGGCATGTTTCGCTTTGGCCCAACGTGGGAAAAGGCTTTGTGCATGTTTGAGGCCGTGTGCATGTTTGATAGAAACCTTATTGGAAGCGATGCTGGCATGTTTCGCATGTTTCGCTTTGGCCCAACGTGGGAAGAGGCCTTGTGCATGTTTGATGGAAACTTTGTGGAAGCGATGCTGGCATGTTTTCGCATGTTTCGCTTTGGTCCAACGTGGGAAGAGGCCTTGTGCATGTTTGATGGAAACTTTGTGGAAGCGCTGCCGGCATGTTTTGTAGAAACTGCATCCAGGCCATGTTTAGCTATGTGTCACTTCTGGACGCCAGCCCAGAATGTTTCGCATGTTGCGCTTTTGGTCCAACGTGGGAAGAGGCCTTGCGCATGTTTGATAGAAACTTTGTGGAAGCGATGCCGGCATGTTTTGTAGAAACTGCATCCAAGCCATGTTTAGCTATGTGTCACTTGCACGTCATGTTTAGCTATGTTGCCTGTCTCTCGCATTGCCGCCAGGTACCTCCCCGAGCGTCTTTACTCAAGGACAATGCATCTGAGTTTAGCAGTGCTGGCTTTGACGTACTGAATGTGATTGTGCTGAACATAGGCTTCTAGCTCTGGTTCGATGTTTTATGGTCTTTGCATTCAGTTCTTTACCTGTGGTAGGTGTTTCTCACCACGGCAGCTCTATTGGCTTCGCAAACAGGTACCTCTCCTTTCTCATTCATGGACATCGGGCCGCTGGAGGTAGGACAGGCCTGGCTTGCATCTGAGTTCGGTGATGCTGGCTTTGACTCAAAGTTGGAAGAAGCATTGGAGCGCTTGGTTCATGTCACTTTGGTTGTGTCCGCTGGACGGCTTGTTTGCGCATGTGATACTTGTAGATATGGTTTGCATATCTATGGTTGTCTTGTTGCCAGGTGCTTTTTGTTCGAGCCGCAAGCTTTGCACTGATGGAGGCGTTGCAATTGCGTTCGGTGGTGTTGTGAATTGTAGTGTGTGGATTGCTTAACGATAGAATGCGGTGCGCACTTGAAGAGTCTCATTGCTGTGGTTCATAGTCAGTGCAAGTGGAAAGACCGTCAAACACTGCCACACATAGTAGCAGCATACATAGTATCAGCATAAGATTTGATAGTTACCTTGCACAACAGGCTGCCATCGCATGATCTGATCAATTATTTCTGATCTGATCGCGTCGCTGTTGCTGCATTGCTGCATGTCGCTCGCATTGCTGCCAGGTACCTCCCCGATCGTTTTGACCCAACGTGGGAAGAAACCGCGTGCGCCGCAGTTGCCGTTGGCGGCGCACGAAAAAAAAAAGTTGCGTATTTCTGCCGTATGTGCGCGCCAATGAGCTCGTCGTTTCAGGCCTTTGTCACACACAACTTTGTCACACACTCTCTTTCACACACAACTTTCACACGCACCATCTTCGACACACCACTTTGTCACACACCACTTCGTCACACACTCTCTTTCACACACAACTTTCACACACACCATCTTTCACACACCACTTTGTCACACACCATCTCTCTTTGTCACACACCATCTTTCACATACAACTTTGTCACACACAACTCTTCACATTCACATCAACTTGCTTTACTTCTCGATCCTTCACCACCTCCTTTGTCCTTCCTTCCTTCCTTCCTTCCTTCCCTCCCTCCTTCCTTCCTTCCCTCCCTCCTTCCTTCCTTCCTTCCTTCCCCGTCCCGCTACAACATGTGTTGCTCATTATTGGAAGAAGCTGACTTGTTGGGCCAAGCTATTTCCCCCCCAACAACAAAAATCAACGACCGATTTATGCGCAGCGCCTTGACACTTATTGCAGTGGTACTCCTGAAGTAACCCTGCAACAGTCGTGTAACAACCCCATCAACTCACCGCCCAAGCACACAAGTCTGCCACCAAATCTGCACCGGACGCTGTCATTGGCGCCAGCTCTTCTCCTGGGGAAGTCTCCACGGTGAGAAACTGGCTAAGAATAAGCCAAGTATTTTGCTTTCTGTGGCAGTTGGTCGTCCCAGTGCTTTTATATATATATATACAGATAGACAGATAGATAGATAAATAGATAGATGGATGGATGGATGGATAGATAGATGGATAGATGGATAGATGGATAGATGGATAGATGGATAGATGGATAGATGGATAGATGGATAGATGGATAGATGGATAGATAGATAGATAGATAGATTCCAGATGAATAGATACTTAGGTACATACTTTCTTAAGATAGATAGATAGATAGATAGATGGATGGATGGATGGATAGATAGATAGATAGATAGATAGATAGATCGATAGATAGGATAGTTAGATAGATAGGATAGTTGGATAGGTGGGGTGGTTGGTTGGTTGGTTGGTTGGTTGGTTAGTTAGTTAGTTAGTTAGTTAGGTAGCTAGTTAGTTAGCTAGTTAGTTAGCTAGTTAGTTAGTTAGTTAGTTAGTTTGCTAGTTAGTTAGTTGGTTAGTTAGTCAGTTGGTTGGTTGGTTAGTTAGTTAGTCAGTTAGATAGATAAATAGATATGGATACCTCTGCCTCCCTCCGAATGATCTCTCTATGACATTATGACAGGCTGTATAATCTATTCCATAAGAGTAATATGATCCAGTCTGACTACATTCTCTTGTTGTCAAGCTGGGGAAAAGGTGCTGCACCTCCAAACATGGCTAAACATGGGCTGGGTGTTTTGTCGCTCCGCTTTTCCAAAGGAGCATTGGACATCATCCTATCATATTCCATCATGCTGTTGGCTGTAGATGAAACAGACCATGAAGAAAAATGCCCTGCGCCCCGAACCCTATAGCGTGTATGGGAAGTGGTATCTTTATCATGTCTAATTAATCTCATCTTGCACTTGTGTGACTAAATGGTCGGTCGGATTATGACAATCCTAAGAAAGAAAATCAGCTGCGCAAGTACACTTCGGAGATCTTAGGAGGTTCTCTTTCCACACATGTCACGTAGCGCTGGTAAGTAATACACAACTGGTCCTGCCATGGTGGTCAAATAAAGTGTCAGCTGGCCATGGTTACCATCCACACATCGCAGGCTGAAGACTTTGGTCAACCTCACTAGATCTCACAGCGTTGGGATGTGATCGTACAAGCAGCAACGAGATATAGCGAGATATACCCTCTGGTAAACTAACATAACTATGGAAAATGGCCATTTATAGTGGATTTACCCATTGAAAATAGTGATTTACCATAGTTATGTTAAATTACCAGAGGGTACCGATATACCAAGAGAATACCAAGAGATATTTTTCCCGAGGTTAGACGGTGCACAAAAAATGCCCAACTAGACAAAATAACACTTGCTTGTCAGAAAGGGAAGTCAACCTGAATGTTCTCCCTAGATGGAATATGTGAGAACTGGTCACCAATCGCCAGTGATGATATTGAAGAATAGGTGCATGTTGGGTCAAGCTACTAGTACCTGCAACTGGCAGAGGTGCAATGCCATGATAGTTTGATATAGATGTTGCAAAAAAAATGTTTTTGTTTAATGCAATTAGCTACGAAAAATCACATTTTTTTATAATAGGTAGATGGTGGTCCTGGTAAATCATCGTAAACCATCTACATATAGACAGATATTACTGTAATTATTATTAATTAGTATATCAAAATATATTACAGTAATTATATGGGACATGTTCAATACAGTAGCTACTAGGGCAGTTTTTTAGCGGTGTGTAAAATTGCGACAGCCTGAGCTAGCAGTGCCTTCATAGCCGCTGAAAGCATGTGTGTGATGTCATGTGTGGTGCGGCTGTTGTAGAAAAATACCCATGGTTCCTCTGGTAGCCCGAGGTCCTCTGGTTAGCCCGGGCATACCTCAAAATGGCATGTCTAAAGTCTTTAAGTAATGTATCATTAACCACCGGATGTTCTCAAGTTTTGGGGCAGCTAATTGGATCCCTTGTTGAAATGACACCCCCACCGCTCAAGAAAAATGACCGAAGTCTATGGCCAAGGCGCTGCATAGATTGGGGAACCTCGAGCTCATGCGGTTGGCGAAGGGGGTCGTGCAATCTGTCATTGTCCCATGGCAAGATCTCCTCAACAGCACCGGGCACCCGGGGCCCCGGGCGCTTTGGCAGCTGAAAGCGAGGACTTTCAAGTGGGGAGGATTGGGAGGGCTGAAATGCTGAAACATCTTGAAAGTCTTCTGCTGACTCGGTGCCATGCCAAGGATCTGTGGCTCTCAGGGCCACGCCCTCATATCGGAAGAGATCTCGATGAATGGGATCCATAAGCCAACGTTGCAAGTCATGGATCCGGGCTGGGTCCACCTGGGGAGACTTAATCAAACCATGAAAGTTTCGGTGAAAGGGAATGACCCCAATAAACCAAATTTGGATGACCCATGATATCCATGATCTAGATCCTGAGACCCAGATTTGATTGCAAAAGTTTTTGTTTTGCCCTCCCTGTGATATCCTTCACTTCAGAAGAGGCACCGGGAACTCCCTCCAGAGAGCGCTCCAACCGTTAAAGAAGACTGTCACGCCTCTACGACTTCGGTTGTAGTTGCCGCAGCCTCAAAAAAAGGCTAGCTTTCACTGAGAATATCAACCCATGATTTATAAACCCCTAGTTTACGAATTGGGCGGAATACCATTTATAATTTATAAAGGGAAATATCATGAATGAAACATCACTATTTGGGGACTACTCTCAGCTCAGGGTCTCCACTTGACAGCCAAGTGGCACATCTTTAAGCTCCAACCGACAATTGCGGACTCGTCATTATCAGGGTCGGAACGGTGCGCAAGCAGTTGCGATCGCACAAGGACCATTGGCTTTCGATAAGCCACGTTCATGTTGGGAGGAGGCTGGCCCAGTGGGAGATTGCCAATGTTACAAAACCAATAGATGAACCGCCTGCAGCCATCCCACAGAAAACAAAGCAACCCAAAGAAGCGCACATCACTTCCATGAAACAAAACTCAGACGTGGCTCTTCATGACATGCATCATGCATGTAGCGAAACTTGTCACGTGCTATATCACTGATTTCCCGACATTCACCTGATGTGAAGACATTTGCTTGGCCACTTGATTGCCTTCATGCTGGCCAATTAGTTATAATATGTTATAATCTACAGAATTCCACACCAAGGAAAAAGGCATGCACGGGCAGCTCCTGTAAATGACACAAACCGCGTGATTCTCCGGGACCGTGCAGAAAGCGATGTCAAAGGTTTGCTCAGCAGCTGCCCTTCTGGAGTACTTGATGACACAGAAAATCCATAGGCCGAAGCGGAGACACAAAATAGAGGCAAAGGGAATAATTGCCGTGAGCATTGGGCTGAATTCAATGACTACGGTCATTCGCACATTTGGATTTACAACAATGATAAGGTAAAAGATCACGAGGAAGGCCAACTCGACCCACGGACAGTTTTTGAATGCCATCCATCGCAAAAGACTGTTGGGGCCATAAGTGACATGGGTCAAATGTCGAGCTGCCCGGCCAGACACGATCATACGATAGATCTGGGCTGTGTTGTTGCCAAGGCTCCTAAGTGGATTTCTCCGGAAATGGGACAATCAACCTGTGGATTTTGAACCAGTGGTGCTCTATTTTGAAACAAACCCAAGCAGGCAGCGATGTTCAACTTAAGGAACCCCTGTGGCACATTAAAAAAAAAAAACTTTTACCGCACAGTCTAGCGGTTCGAGCACCTACATTTCAATATATAAATGTTCAATATATAAATTTCCCCATTCTCTAAGGCTAATCATACTCCAGGCCAACGCACAGAAAAAGTCAAAAGTTTTGTCACTAACATCACGCTAACATCACACGCACACATTTCCTCATGTTTGTTGGATGTGTGTAGATTGTGGGGGCCAAGGAGCACCTTGGGCGGGTTTGAGCACTTTCAATCCTGATGTGATGGCAGCCATGTCAATACATACTTGGTGCTACCCTAGAGATGCGGCTGTGCAGGTGAGCTGGGGTAACGCGCAATTGAAGTTGCACACGCACTGAAATGGGCTAGAACTTAGGCCAATCTATTTTGTTCCTGATAAAGACATAATTTTTCTCTCGGCAGCTGTCCAAACAAAACACAGGTGGAATGCACTCGCTGAGTACATAGGTGAATTAAATTCTTGTGTACTTGCCAACACCCTCAGAAATGCCTTTTGGAAATTAAAAACAATTTCCCAACCTCCCACATCTTCTTCATTATTTCATTGTTGGACAAACAGATTTCGTATCATGAAAATTGATAAGGACCAATGTTGGTAATGTGTCCATGAGAAGGTAACCATATCAACTGACGTACCATGACATATGGAGGCCTCAGGCTGTTGCAGAAAATTTGACTGAGGATCCTGGGTTTAGAACAGTCATCCCACCACTACATGGATGCAGCAGTAAAAACATATATTGTATGATATATATATATATTATCATATATATATAATATATTTTATATATTATATTTATATATAAATAATATATATATGTATATATATATATTTCTGCACATTGCACGTAACTTGATGCAATCCAGCTAAATCCCCAGTCTCTCCAGGATTTGCTGTTGTCTGAAGTATTGGTGCTTCAAGTCGAGAATTCCAAGGACAAGGACGAAGATGGCAACAATCACTGCCAGCATCATGCCCAAGTTCGTAGGTATCATGGCACCCCTTCCGCACCATAGCCTGAAGCGATTAGCCCATGCCTTGTCTTGCCACACAGTTACGTTGTTTTTTGCTGAACACGTAGGGCTGCATTTTTTATTACTCATGGCATTCCATTTAACCACTATTTTCAGAGAAAGATTTTGGCGAAGGGCTTGGCGTTTGCGCATCCGATTCTTTCTCTATTACTTTGCCACATGACAGGTTCAATGCAAAAGCGCAGCAGCAATGGCCAGTCACATGGAAAAAAAGTGCTGCAGGCGCGATTGCCATTGTGGCAATACTCTCTTCTTGCTGTCTGGTTGCAAATACTTGAAATACTATGAAATACTGAACACTTTCCGGTGAACTTGCAAACTATTTTGAATCTATTTGGTGGCTGTACGGTAAACCCCATTCTCAAACACGCCCATCTCCTTTCTCCCACCTGCCAGGTGAGGGTCTCCAATGGTCCCTGAATTTTAACAAGTCCTGCTTCCTCGAACAGTATGCGAGCTGAGAGGCTCGATTTTGGGGCTCTCACCGGGCCCGAACACTATGTCGAGCTGCCACATAGATGGTAAACAAAAAAGTGTATATATATATATATTACAGATAGAATGTCAGATAGAATGCCAAAAAGAACTTCAGAACAGATGTCACATAGAATACCAGAAAGAATGTCAGAATAGATGCCAGATAGAATGCCGGAAAGAATGTCAGATATAATGTCAGAAAGAATGTCACATAGAATGATAGAATGCCAGAATGTCAGAAAAATGTTAAATAGAATGCCAGATCAACTGCCAAAACGAATGTCATATAAAATGCCGGATAGAATGCCAAATCAAAACGCCACATCGAATGTCAGAATATAGGTAAGGGAGAATATCAAAGTAAAATATCAGATATATGATGATATATGATGATGTACGCCAGATAGAATGTCAAATAGAATGTCGGAGTATAAGTCTGATAAAATGTCAGAAGATATGATAGAATATATACCCCGGCGCGCATCACTTGTTTTTGTTGGCGACATCTTATCTTAATAGCCAGGCCACTCTGTCAAACAGGGCGGTGCCATGTGACACTCGGAAGTCGTTGACCCAGGAGAGCGCACAGACACATAGTAGTATCCGTAGTCGCCAAGACCTTACATATCCTACATAGCATAGTTCAACCGTGTGCAACGAGCAGGATACAAGATACATCAAGATACAACCGCCCTTCTGCCACATCCATTGTAAATTTTGGGGCTGATTGTTGGGTCAACCGAGTTCCGCACAGCTCCAACCGTTCGTGGATTTCTGAGCCAAAAATCTATTGTGGGGCCATCTTCGACTCAAAAATATACAAAACCCGAAACATCATTAGATGAAATACTGGTTGGTTAATAGGGGTTCCAATGGGTATCCATAAGGATAATCATAATCCCTACATGTATCTACAAGTATATATAGTGATGTATATATTATATATATATATATATGTGATATGATTATATATATATGTGTGTGTGTGCGTGTGTGTATTTATACCATTATATACAGTTCTACACATAAATATTTGATTGTATTGGACTAGTAGCACCGAAACAACCAACCAGTAGCAGCACCAAGAGACTGGCAGCAGTGACCTCGACGATCTGCCCCAGCAAGGGCTCGCAAACCTTCGGCAACGACTCCAGCCCGTAGAGAGATTGAAACTTGTTCAGCCTGTCCAAATCCTAGGTGTTAACAAATTGGCATGTAAATCTATATATATATTTATAGTGAAATATATATAGTGTGCTTTTTAATATCTTGTAATCGTGTTACATCTGAGCAATACTTCCCACTCTGCGAATCTCTGGAAGATTTTGTCTATGGTGTTCAGCCTAGTTCGACGGAAGTACAACAAAACAAAAAGGGCATAGGATAAATGGCAGTGAGCTTGAAGCAATTGTCATTGTGTCATCCTTCAAGTGATGCCACACCCTCATACACTCTATTATCTATAGCTTAGCTTTGCTACTCTGCTGGGCCTGCTCTTTCAACCAGCATGAGGCCTGTTCTCTTAATGGTAATGAAGGGCACGTGCTGACCAATTAATTACATTTAATTACCACAAATCGGAGAAAACACTATTGATTGTACTTTAGCGTGCCATGTGTTGCTGTTTATCACAAGGTCGTCTAAATGGTCAAAGAAGTTGAAAGTTATCCTATCGCAACATGGCCAAGTGTACCTGACATGAAATCCGCCTGTTGTTGACTGCACTTGTCCCAATTGGTTTTGGGAGATTGACATAGATTGACTATATAGATTGTTCTAAGACCAAAAAACAGCCTTACAGCACCTGCAGCTCTTTACCCATGCTTCTTCCAGGCAGCCTTTTAAAAGCTGTTAAAAGGTCCCCGAGTCCAAGACTCATCGATCACGTGCAGATGCTCCTCCTGTTTCAAGGCTTTCAGACCCGCATCGCCACAGTTCATGTTCATGAAGCCATAAGCCACCGAGATGGGGATCATCACAATCAACGTGATGACCATGCTCATCTTGATCCGCCTAAAAGGACCGAAATGTATCGACATGTCAGAATACCTGGTAAATAACGGGCTATATAATAAACTATATGATATCATAGGTCATCTTCCACGGCTATATTTTAGATTACCAGCTAGCTACTGTAGTTGTACAAGACATAGTCAAGTAGCCTTGAACTCGCAGGCTCACAACATCATCAACATCTCAGAAACATGTCTAACTTTAATAGTTTAAATTATGTTGTAATATGTTATAATATAATATATTAATAATAGGGGCTGGGAGGCATAGCCCGAATGCCTCAAATCGAACAAGTCTTCATCTGGCACTGCGGACAATGTTGATGGATTTGATGATGGCTCTTCGATTGAGAAAGTGCCGCGAACCGGTTCCATGGCGCAACCCTTGCGCAGCTTCCTTTTAAATGCACAGATTCAACAGCGGCAACGGATGACAAAGGCTCCTAAAATCGAAATCATTGATGCATAATCTACGACACTTTGACTTTTTGATGAACCAGGGAGGTACCTCTGTCTTCCGGCCCTTTTCTTTTCTGCTGAAAGCCACAAGTGCTGCACGGGTACTTTGACGACATATTTTGGAGCAAATGGAATTGACCACTGCCATGCAACTAATGGCCTAAGTTCCACCAAACTCAGCCCAGTCGTCAATACAAAGAGCACCCGTAAAGGCAAAAGAATCTGTCCGACTGACATCTAAAGCACGCAGAGCAAAAATTAAGCACCGGGGTATGCAGCAAAATTCTGAACTCTGACTGTTCCCATCCCAATCCCACAGCTCCATGACAATGCACCTGCTGCATCTTGTAGATGCCCTGTGTGATTAATTCCTTCTCCAAGTCTGCCAGTGTAATTCGCCTGGACATCTGAGCCTCAAATCGTGGCAGATGGGTAAAAACCACACCACCCTCCCGAGGACAACAATGGGGAACCCACTCAGGGGTGAACCGGTGTAGACCGCCTTTTTGGCTGGCATAAATAGGTTACCCTCCGGCAAATTGACGAAGACATGGAAAACCAACCATGAATGTGGCCAACATTTCACTTGTTCCGATAAATTTGCAATCACTTTTGCCATCAAGTGTGTTGTTTCACTTGTGCGAGCAAAAGCTCTGAAATGCAGGGTTTCCTTATGTTGAAATGTTCTGCTTGATTCTTGATCGCGGCCATCCAAGTCGAAGAATGCACTCAGGAACTGCCATCTTGAGAAAAGGTTGGAAAGATTTGGAAAGACAGTTTTCCAACCTTTCTCCAGCCGTTTGTGAGGGCAGGACCTATTAAGGAAACGTGCCTGGAAATGTCTCACTTGTGCCAGTATATAGAGTGTTGCGGAATACAGAACTGTGTGGAGGGTACGACACGTTTGGTTGGGGTACGGGGGAACAATCATGGAATGATAGGATGAATGTGACATATAATGCTATAATGTCACATTCAAAAATGTCCGTTTGTTGGATTTCTAGAGGGTAAAAGTTATAGTTCATACACCATCAAAATCCATCAAACATGGCAGGTGAAATTTTCATCAGAAATCCCACATTTCCATATTTTGTCCAGCATTCTCCAGCTTTTTTTTTGCAGGTGAAATCACATCATCTTCCCAGCATTTTCCTAACAACCAAGCTGCTGTAAATGCTTGGCCCTCCTTTGCCAGGTCCAACGCGTTGCACAAGGCGCGCACCTGCGAAGTGAGCGAAGCGCTGAAGTGAAGCGCTGAAGTAGATACAAGTTACTAACATTCAACAGCGGCCGTGATTGTTCTATCATTATCTTATATAATTTGCAAGATCAATGAAAAATATTACATATATATATATATATGTGTGTGTGTATAAGTAATATATATATAATTATATATATACAATTGTATACATCAATGGGAAACCCAATGGTTTGGGGCACCCATATCAGTACCCATAGCGCCTCATCGCGACCAAAGCCAGCTGAGCCTCGGTGGATCTCGGTGTCTCGGATCATCCTGTGGAAAATGTGTGATTCAATGGATTGGTTTAAGGGAAAATTTACAGGAAACCCCCATATTTAATGGTAAAAACCATGGTTTCCGGTTAAGATTTTCCCTTAAACCAATCCATTGAATGATCACTGGTGAAATCTGGTGAATATGATAATCACTGGGTGAACATTTCCTAGAAATCATGAGATTCAATTAATAATTTTAGATCATTTATGGCATTTCAGAAATCGAATTTCACTGGTGAAATTTCTAAACAATCTGGTGAAATTAGAAGTTTGTGAGAACATTTTGAAGTGAAAATTCATTGATGGTCCATTCAGCCAATTTTCAAGTGTTGCCCTTGTGGCCATAGAAATGTACATCGTTGTGGTCACTGGTGAAATATGTCCATTGTGGTCACTGCTGAACCAGCGACACTGAACAAGGCATCCGGGCAATCCTCACGGCCTCCAGCACAAAGTGTCAAGGCTTCGCCTCAGATTGTAGGTGAGGCACCTATGTGAAAATGTTGTATTTTAATGACCTGGTTTAATGGACAATCTACCGGAATGGTTTTGACCATGATATATCGGGGGTTCCAGAAGATGTTCCATCATCCAAATCCGATATTTGTTTTGGCGTGTCAAGAGAAGGAAAGTGTTTTCTGAGTCTGGAAACTCCCTGAACAAGTGCAGGATCTGTTCATCAAATGTTGGCAGCCTTGGAATAGAGATCTTAGGCACCCACGTAAGCGAGCACGCTGCTCGTCGCTTGCGTTGAAGACCTGCCAAATTGATGCAGCAGTCCAAATTGGGGTGCATTTAGAATTGCATGTATGTCCATTTGGAAACTTTTCTGAGCGGGTTGGACCCAGCTCACGTCAATTTTCCAGCGATGCGCATACAACAACCCTCTGGTCATGAATGACTGGGACTGGGAACTGGAAAATCACCATTTTTGAAAACGGGAAATCATTGAACATCATTGAAATGATGCCATGATATGCCATGATATGTCATGGCATGGCTCTCAGTTAACCTCCTGACATCGACTTGCGGCTCGAGGCTCCCACGCTGAAGCGTTTCAGGTGCGTGGCCGATGGGACCTCAATCCATGGTGAGCATACCAATTATGTATATTGGTACGAGTAGGATAAAACGAGCCCCTTTTGCAAAATATCGCTCTAATATCCGCAGAGATTAGAGCGATGTTTTATGATTTGTCGATATGCTATAATTTTGTGACCCTAGAATGACCCTAGAATCTTAAGGGATATTTGAGATATCGGACTCATGTGATATACATAAGAAATATACATGTTGCATGCCAAACCCTTTGGATCCTTGTCGACCGGGCGATCCTCGTCCTGGAGCCCAGCCACCCATTCCAAGAAGCAAATCACATTTCGCAACCTGGCGACGGGATGAGCCCAGTGATTGGATGACTTGGATGACTTGGATGTGGATCTCAGTTATAGTCAGTGATAGCACGTAAACGGTAAAAATACCTGTTCATACTCATCTTATAAGCCAGTTATATATAAGGCATCCCCGCAGTTGTATGTGATACCCTCCAATAAACTAACATGGCTATGTAAAATTAAACATTTATAGATTTATAGATCATTTACATTCATTTACCATGATTTTCCTAGCGTAGTACTGGCTTCATTCTCATCCATGGATTCCACGACGCCACGACCAGCCTTCGAACGGAGCTCAAACGCCACTGGCGCCGGTAGTAGTTGTCACTCAATAGGACCTGAATGGCCGTGGAAGTGTCGCTTTCCTGCAGCCTGCAGTGACGCTGACCACTGGCATCCACTGGCTTAATCATCCAAAATCCTGCACCTTAAAATTCCTGTGGATGGTTTAGCAAAATCCTAAAAACCAGCTGGTAGATGACTGATACCATTATAATCCCATTTCCGGGTTAGCAACTCGTGCTGTCCATCCACAGTATCACTAGCTATTTTGGAGCGAAACGATGCGAAACCTGAATATGTTTCCCGCCACGACACAAAGTGCATAAGGGCAAACGGCACATCAGTTCAATATCTTGATTTACCCGCTGATTTATACAATCGGTATATATAAACTGGTATGGAGGTGTATAGAACATTTTGCATGGTGTCCCACTAAACCTCCTCCTCCACCTCTTTTGCACTTGCCCAAGACCCAGCTCTGCGTTACGGACGAAGGGAGGGATACCAGAAAGAGCTGGGCTGGATTCGTTGAAGATCCTGTTCAAACAGCAATCAGCTGGGGCGTGGCTCGGGCTCTGTCGGAATAAGAGGATTGAACCCGATAATTACTATAAGATGGTCTACGGAAAAGATGTTTGATTCCCTATCCCATAGGATCCATGTATGGTATATATGCTAACATTGGGGTATATTGATGGTAAATGTTACCATATATAGCATACATGGATCCTATGGGTATTCTTTCAAACACTATCCGAAAACGCACTGCACGCTGCAGCTAGTTGGTAGCATTTGGTAGCCATCCCCAGGCTGCCCACCCTTTGTTCACTGCAAAGTCTGCCATGGGATAGAAGGGCAAGGTCTCACGGCTCCTGGCCATATCCCAGGAAGCGCCACGGAATTCGCGTAACATCGGAAAAATCCACCCTTTTTTCATGGGAAAATCAACTATTTCGACTGGGCCATTTTCAATAGCTATTCAAAAGAATTGCCTATTGATAATTGATGATGCTCTGCATCAATCCATTCATCATCAACGCTCCCATGGCTTCACTGCTAAAATGACGATCCAGGACCACTGGCCCATCTTTTCATCGTGGCACCCGCCCGTCTCACCTTGCAAATAGACCCCGCAATGGCCATGGCGTGGCCTCTTCAGCGGGTGTCGTCCCAGTTTTTTGACAAAATCGCCTGAATCCCACATCCTCCAAATGAACCGGTTGGTTTCAACACATCCCAAAACGATTGATGATTCAGGATCATCCAGATTCAGGATTTCTATGGATTTTGTTCATTTCGATGAGGAAAAAAACATGGATTTTTTTTTCCGATTCTCCTACCTCTATATTGAAGTAAAGTCAGTGAAACATCGGACGCCTTCTCCCAGCCATGACGCCACGCAAGCCCTGCAAGCCCCGCCCCGCCTCCTCCGCATCGCGCGCGTAGCGTTGATCCGCAGCCGCCTCCGGCACCTTTTCCAGATCTTCTTCCAGCTGCACCTCGCGAAGGGAAAAATGAGAGAATCACGGGGATGGTGGATTTATGATGATTTATGGTGGATTTATGGTGGATTTATGGTGGATTTATGTCACAAAAATAAAGATTTCCCTCTGGTAATCAAACCTGGCAATTTTCATCTTCCCATGTAGAAATCTCTGTTTATAGGGGATTTTAACATTTCATATTGCCACGTTTGATTACCAAAGGGTTTATCAAATATTGGGATTTATTGATGATCAACGGATTGCTTGAAA